TAATACATGAAGAAAAATTATCTGCTATGCTTTTTCCTATTGAATCTTTAAGACAAGAGGATTCCTGGAAGATCAGCAAAACATGCTTACATTTAGACAATTTAAATCAACAATTAACCTACTATTTGTTATAATTTGTAATGCATTTGAAATTACTTGTATTGTACAAATCCCAGATTCTTTTATCTTGGTAAAGCAGCCAAAAAAGAAATCAAACCTGTTTGGAGTTAAAAACTGGTTTCTGCCAATAGGAAATATAGGTTGTAACGGATGTTCAATGACCTAGTGCTTTGATTGACAAAACTGCAATCTATGAGTAAAAGAAATAGGTTTGATATATGCTACTTCTGAGGAGTAACATCCTTCTAATGCCAACGGGGAAAAGTAGATTTAGCCTCGAGGTTTGCTGTTTTTGAACCTTTAAGTACCTTCATGACCCACAGGTACGCGTTGTAGAGGTCCCAGGGGTCTCTATGGAACTCTGTGGGGGCACCCACGTCAACAACACCTCTGAGCTGCGTGGGTTTAGGATAATATCTGAACAGGGGATTGCAAGTGGAATCAGGCGAATAGAAGCTGTTGCTGGGGATGCATTTATTGAGCATATCCTCGCCAGAGATAATTATATGAAGCAGCTTTGCTCGACTCTCAAAGTATGCTTTACTTTCACTCAATTCACTGCTTAAAAAGTTTTGAAGTTGTATCTTGTTGCCATGCAGATATTTGCGAGAAGTTCTTTTCATCTTTTGACTGAAATTTGACTTTTTATCCAGCGTGAGAGTAACAAAGTACTTTGAGGTTTTGTCTTCTTAGTTTCAGATGAACAAATCCTCTCATTCTGTTTTTTGACTGGATCTTTCTAAACGAGGAAGAAGTTGAATATCATTACTAGCTGTTTTCATCTGTTGGAACTAAAACTCAGTATTGGTGAAGGTAAAAGCTGAAGACGTCACAACTAGAGTGGAGGCACTTTTGGAAGAATTACGAGCCGCAAGAAATGAAGTTTCTGCTGCAAATGCTAAAGCAGCAATCTTCAAAGCCTCAACAATTACGTGCAAAGCATTGTCTGTTGGAACTTCAAGAGAAATCAGGTAAAAGTATTACTCATTCTGCATATACATGCTGACAAATTAAGTGTAGCTGGGTTAATCAAGTGAAGTTACTGAAAACATCATATGGAGAAATATTTTAGCTTTTGAACTTAAAAACGAGAATTCAAAGAACACCGGGGCTCTTCAAGTGTTACGAGCTTCGGATTCCAAAGGGGTTTCGGTCACATCTGACTAATCACATGGAGCAATTTGATAGCAAAATTTTATGGGCACTTCAACGTGGAATTCCTGTTTTATTTGTCTTCACTATAGTGTCTGAAATGGAACTGATTGAAGAATCCAGATGAAGCGTGACACCAAAAGAGGTGGCTGATTCTGATGTTTGTTGTGATATGTGGTCACCCAGGGTGCTAGTTGAGTCGATGGATGATGTTGATGGGGATGCGCTGAGGAGTGCTGCCGACTATCTATTGGATGCATTGCAGGATCCAGCAGCCGTGTTCTTGGGGTCCCGCCCGGGCGAAGAAAAAGTGAGTCTCATCGCTGCTTTTAGTCCAGGAGTTGTTGAACTGGGATTGCAAGCAGGAAAATTCATAGGGCCTGTAGCTAAGATGTGCGGAGGAGGAGGGGGAGGGCGGCCTAATTTTGCTCAGGCGGGTGGAAGGAAGCCTGAGAACCTGTTAGGTGCCTTGGAAAAAGCTCGACAAGATCTGATAGCGATTATATCCGAGAAGGCAGGTTAAGAACTTCAGAGAGATAAATCCGGGGAATAAGCTATACAGGCACTAGTTTGCGCAACGGATTTTCTGCCTCACTCTATGCTTCACTTTTTATTATATTACTATTTTTCTTTCATAAATATTATATTTTTATTTCTTTTTTGTTTCCTTAAAATTCAATTACTGTTAATTGAGTACAAAATATATATAACTCTCAAAAAAGTAATATATAATAAAAAATTAAAAAATACAGTAGAAGATTCGTAAAAAAATCTCCTTTTTTTATGCATTTTGAATTTTGAGTTTATTAAATTTTGTGTTATTCAGTTAATAGGTATTGGATTTTAAAGATACAAAAAGAATTAAAATATGATGTTTATAAAGGAGAAATAATAATATAATAAAAAATAAGAGAGAGCGTGACAAAAAAAAGTGAGACAGTTGATCTTTTGTTGCTAGCTCGTAGATGGATGCCAGTTGCTGAGTAGTGTGTATATCAAATTACACAATGTGGAAGCAATTATTGACTAAAGTGTTATGCTTTGTAATAATGGTCGAGAAAGAAATTTGAGATCTTCAAGTAAGGATGGCAAAGGGGGCGGGGATCCCTCCCTCGCCCATGCTCCACTCCTTGCCTCAATTCCCACACCACCTGCCCTGCCTCACCCTACCCCACTTTTTTTCACGAGTGATAATTAGATTTTTTTTTTCTAGAAGTCTTTATTCAATAGATCAAAGTTAAATTTAAAAAATAAAATAAAATAAAATAAGATACGAAGCTGAAAACAGTGAAAATAGGAAAATGAAACAAAAAAAGTGTCGAAATAAAAGATCAAGAAAATTAAGAAATTTAATTAGATTGTATAGATAATATTTGGAAATACTCATAGAACGCGTAACATAATTTTGCTAAATATCAATTAAAAATTTGAATAAAAATGGGATAAAAGTTATATTTAGTTGTCAAATATTTTAAATTTATTATTATTAAATTATATAATATATTACATTTATTTATATTAATAAATTGAAACAGTGGACAGGACGGGACGAGGTATCATCCCCCACCCCCGGCTCATTTAAAACAACGGGAGAAAAATTTTCCCTGTCTCCGCTCCCGTCCCGCCCCATCCCCCACCTCATTACTTCTCCTGTGGGCAAGCACTCGCCCTCGTTGCCGTCCCTAAACTTAAGAGTTGTTTATTACTGAGTTTTAACTCTTTTTTTTTTTTAAAAATACTACAACCACATATGCATTACTACTTTGTAGTAAGTAGCAATTGGTTCGGTCAAGATTGGTACAACAATTGTGAAATGTGAATTCACATCACAGTGACCTGAGAAAGACGGTGGACGCGTACTGCCCATTTGCATTACTGCTCTGCTAGAAACAGGGGAAGACAAAAAGGTCCTCTCTCTAACTGAGTAGCTGTTATGTCGGTGGTCTTGGAATTAGATTGGGTCTTCGAATTAGATTGGGCCGGCCGATTTGGATTTGTGTTTTTGTCAAAAATATTTTTAAAAATAGTTTAGTTTGTTAGTAAATCTCTGGAGACGGGTACTTGTGCATAGGATGAGTGAAGCAATCATAACAACTTTCACCCAAGATGTCGTGGGTTTGTCGTAATTGTATGATGTGTGCCCTATCTTCTCAACAAGGAAACACGTCAGCTTTTCTTATTTAGCGGAAGAAAAGTCCTTTTTTTAAGCGTAAAGATTTGTCCCTATCTATCCCATTCAATGGGCAATTCCAAATTTTTTTTAAAAAAAAAAGAAAAAAGAGAAGAATAAGTACTAATCATTGCCATTGGTCCATGCCAAACTCCAATTACTAATATGTGGATGACAGCTAAACTCAGAATTCTGCTTTTTAAATCCGCGTTAGTGTCCTGCTTAGCTTAGCTTCCAGTTCATTAACAAAAAACACCCGCACTTGACTCATCGTCTCTCGTCTTTTCTTTTCTTTTTTTTTTTTTTCTGTCGATACGATAGCTTCCTACGTTATAGGGAGAATGAGGACCTGAAGAGATCCTGGGATAACTCGAAGGGGACTGAACCATCACCGGACTGGACTGATCCACCTGAATTTTTTAAATAAGGTCACATTTAATTGTGACAAATTAGTGGGAGGAAAAGTTTTAAACCTTACCAAACCTTGCCTCACACCCCATCAAGGTTTAATGCATTAATGATGTCCACTAGTCCAAAGGCTGGTGATTATCTCTCGTCTTTTCATTTTTGTTCTTTTTAACAAAAAAAAAAATAACAAAGAAAAGACCCATTCCTAGATTTACCCATGGTTGTCACTGGCCATTTGGTCCGGTGGTCATCACCATTAAAGGTGATGTTGGAGGTCAGGGGTTCAATCCCTGCCTCCCACAAATTTGCCACAATTTGTGGCGGTCTTAATTGACCTTCATCGATGGAGTCTGTACTCACATCGAACCCCCTCCCCTTCCCCTTAAACTAGGCTAGATTAGGTTATAGGACATCTATAGTTTCGACAAAAAAAAAAAAAAAGATTTACCCATGGTTATCAGGGTTGATCAGAGTACAGCGTCTGGAAATTTGTTGCTTGATTAAATTGTCCACAACATTTACGGTGTGTTTGGATTGTAATTTTTTAAACATTTTTCGTGAACATATTTTTCAATCACTTTTTTTCGTCGCATATATCAAATTGTTACAGTAATTTTTTTACAAAAATGCAATCCAAACAAACTTTCAAAGCAACTGTTAAACGCACCAGCTGTTACCAGCTGTTACCAGCACGGGATGATACGTGTGTGTATATATATATATAGAGAGAGAGAGATTGGGGGGGGGGGTGGGAGGGAGAGAGTCGGTGGGCGCAGTGAATAGCACCCAAAGTGGTGAGGAGAAGTTCGGAGTCCACGCTGACCGACCGACTTGAGGAACACAAGGATAGGCTATTTGTCAAACGAGAGAGGGAAGGGTCCCCAGCCCTGTGCCCAGTGCCCACCCCACCCCAATCCAACGGCAGCGTTGGTTCCATATTCTCTGTCTCAGCCGCGTGTGCCCCATTGATATTTGATGCTGAGGTGAATGGAATCCCCTCTCTCTCTCTCTCTTACTTTCAAGAACTACAGTAGTGTTAGTGAAAGAGCCAATTGCTATCCACTTTATCGTCACTGTAAAATATACTATTACTGGTATCGTATCGTATGCCACCCCAGCAGAAGAAGAAGAGGAGGAAGAAGAATGATGAAATAAATAAATAAAACACCCCACCCAAATTCAAAGGTATGCTATAAATATCCCATCATCACTCCTCAGTGTTGTACTCTCCAAGACCAAGAGACGAGTACAGTTACAGTACACCCCTCTTGATTCCTCTCTTCTACTCTTCTGTTTCTCTCCTCTTTGATCCCCTTTCTTTCTGTATTACTACATAATTACACGATCTCATCTGGTTGGTTGACAGAACTCGCTCGCTAGGTTCCATATATAATACACTAGTAGTACAACAAAAAAAATTAGGCAGATAGTAGGTGAGGCATTAGACAATTACATCTCCCAGAATGCCTGCAGTCGTCGACCTTGCTTGTTTATTATGTCTGTTGCTTCTCATATCCTCCTCCTCTACGGCCACAGCTTGTGATCGCTGCGTCCACCGCACCAAAGCTGCTTTCTTCAACAAAGCATCTGCACTTCAATGTACGTGTCACTCGCTCGCTCGCTCACTCATCAACACACATTTTGTTTAATTTCTTAAATGATCAACATCTCCTATACATGTAAACTTTTTCTCCGTTTCTTTCCTCGTTTGTCGCTGAGATAATGCTGCTATCATCAAATTAATGCAGCTGGTGCTTGTGGGTATGGCTCAATGGCCACAAGTTTCAACGCTGGCCATCTTGCGGCTGCTGTTCCTGCCATTTACAAAGATGGAGCAGGTTGCGGTGCATGTTTTCAGGTACACACTTATTTTTCGCACTCCACTCAAATTCCTTTTCTTTCTTTCTTTTTTTTGGGTTAATTTCCTTTTTCAGTAGCAGTATTGTTCAACTGTTTTCCATCAAGGTTGCCATGATCTTGAACAATGATCAAGCTATAATAACACTGCTAACTTATTTATACCTGCATACTTATCAATGAAAGATTGCGATTGCAGATAAGATGCAAGAACACACAGCTCTGTACCAAGCAAGGGGCCAAGGTGATCGTCACCGATCTTAATAAAAACAATAATGAGACGGATTTTGTGCTTAGCAGCAGAGCTTTCAGGGCCATGGCTGTGCAGGGCAAGGATCAAGACATTTTGAAGCTTGGCATCCTTGACGTCGAATACAAGAGGTCACCACTCACCACCAATCCTATGTTACTAGTACTTGTGATATTATATTGTTAGTATAATACTGCTGCTGCTACAACACAGCTCAATCCGTGCAAGGCACTTTTTTATTAAAAATTTTTCAGAGGGACCAGAAGATACCATTTTTGTAGTACCTAACAATACCAACTGCAACAACATTTTCCACTATGTAGATAGCTCTTTTAGAACTCTAGGTCTTTTTTTTTTTTTTTTTTTTTTTTGTTTTTTTTGGGGGGGGGGGGGGTTTGGTGGTTTGTGTGTGCTGTTGTGGGTGGTGGTTTAGGAACTCCATCATTAGTTCCTAATAGGATAAACTAATTAATTGTGTTGTGGGGCCGGACTAATTCGACCGTTTTGTCTTTGTGTTAGTAAAGTTCAAATTAAGATTATTGCTAACACTTTGGATAAAGTATCATTTAAAATTGTGATATGACGTATGTGAAATAAAAAAAATGATTAAAAATATTAAAAAATATGTTTATAATATAAGCGAAATGTTTCATTTATCCAAACACACTTAATACTAACACAGCTTAGATGTAATGTGGGCCTAAAGCAGCCCATTAGCATTCGCGTCAGGTCGGGGCCCTTTTGTCCGGGAAATATGCAGCTAGCTTAGCTGTAGAGGTCGTAACATGACCGTTACGCTTAATTACTACTACAAAGGCAAATACAATGATCTGATTACATTTGTTGATGTTCAGACTTTGAGATCCACTTGGAAAGCCATACCTACCACATACATATGTATATATGCTGTTTGTCTTCTTAAATTTTGGTTGGTTGGCTGGTTGGAGTGTCCATAAACATAAACATAGTAGAGTGCTAACTAGCAAATGAAGTGCACATGAATGATTGGTTTTGGTTGGAGCAGGGTTCCTTGTGATTACGGAAGGAATCTGGGCATTCGCGTGGAAGAATCAAGCCAGAAGCGTAATAATTATCTAGCCATTAAGTTCTTGTACCAAGGTGGCCAGACGGAGATCGTGGGTGTTGATGTGGCTCAGGTAAACACTCCAACCCTGCATTTGATCAGTTGTTGCATCTCTTTGTCAGGAGGAAATTAGATTCTGATTGGTATTTTGGTTGATGAATTTGACACAGGTTGATTCACCAAACTGGACTTTCATGAGCCGAAACTACGGCGCTGTCTGGGATAGCAGCAGAGTTCCAGGCGGGGCGTTGCAGCTCCGGGTGGTGGTGACGGCTGGCTACGATGGCAAGTTTGTGTGGGCTAAAAATGCGTTACCTGCGGATTGGAAGAATGGGATGGTCTACGATTCCGGTGTCCAGATCACTGATGTTGCTCAAGAGGGTTGTTCTCCTTGTGATGATGGAAGCTGGCCAGCCACCGCCCGTTTAATATAATCTCTTCCCTACCGCTCGTTAAACTTCAGTAATTACCCACTGATGTTACTTACTTACTGAATAAACATTAAAGCTTGGTTTAGATTTCCTGCACTTACTTTTACTCACTACTGCAATTATTATTGTTAGTGTATCCTTTCCACAACTCTGGGACAAGCTGAAAGTGGAGGGAGGAGTGTATTTTTTCGTTGCCAAATAAGAAGCAGAGCGTAAAAGAGGAGGGTCGGCATTCGCATTTCCCATCATAGCTAGGAAAAATTTTGTGCCCCTGTATATTCTGCACTTTGTATTGTGACTTGTAACACATAAAGACGATTATACATTAAAACGTCATTTCTTCAGTTCTTCCAGTACTCCTTTAATCCTTTATGGACTATTGTGCTTTTGTAATTTATTTCCAAGGCAATTATCATGTTTAGTGTGTTGAGATTTAACAGGAGGAGTGAAATGTACTGCTGTAACAAGCCCTGAGAGGATAAAAAAAAAAAATTTGTACACTTTCCCAAACAATGGGGGGATGGTGCATTTGGAAATGTACGAGGTTCAAAGACGCTTGCGTCTTAAACGAGACCATAAAATAGTCATTTTGCATTCGGGTTTCAACAACCAACAATTGGCATTCCCTTTCTTTAATATGAAATAAACTAGGGGATGAAAGCCTGCGCAACGCGCGAGTGATGGGTGCCTCTATTTAAAATTTTTTATATAATTTTTTTAAAAAATACAATAAAATTGAGAAAGCAGAAAGTATTACAGATATAAGTTATTAAAAAAAATATGTATATAAAGTAAGTATCATATCAGTTGAAGGAGAATTACGCATAAACAAATGCTTTCATACCCTACACGAAAATAAAGTTAATTTTTAAATACACATAGTATTTCTTCTACATATGTTAATTAAGAGCATAGAAGGAAATGTCAAAAAAGGCTAACTGAATAACATAATAAGAAAACATCCAAAGTTGAAGTGTTTAATAATTAGCTTTGTTCTTAGTTAGTTTTATCTCATCTACGTCAATTTTGACAAACCTGACACTCGAAAAGAAAGAGTCAACCTTGTAAATATATTGGATAAAAAATAAAAAAAATCCCATGTAATAAACCTATTATACAAATAAACCCCCTATGGTTTCAAAATATACAATTCGATACCTCATGCTTTGAACTAAATTGTAAACCTGACGGAAATCGGTAAAATTAACGGGCACTGATGAAATGACCAAAATGTCTGGCTACTGCAGCTGCTGACTGTTGTTTCGCCATTTTATTAGCTTAAAAGAAAGCTATCACACAGCTCCAACTCTTTCTTTCTCTTGTACACTCATATATCATATTCATATAGCATTATGAGCTCTTCCTTCCAAGCTTCAACTTACTCCCCCATTTAACCATTTGATTATTACCCATCGCTCTCAACTTACTAGTTGCTCGTACTTGTACCACCCCGGTCTTTATTAACGTTTTCCAAACTTGACCTGTATTATTATTAACCCTCCCAATTTCCAACCTTTTTTTCACCTCATTCTCACAAAATCCATAGTTAGTAGTAATTCTTTCATTCTTTTGTCTTAGTCCTATAAATTCAAAGACCAGTGGGGAGATTATTCATCCATCCAGAGATTGAAGCAGCAGCAAGAAAAGAAAGAAGAAAGAAAACAAACGATGATGCACAGTAATAGGTGCAATGGTAGTTCTCATGGAAACATGGCTGGGCCATGTTCATGTGTCGTGTTTCACACTCATCATGCCAATTCCTTCTCCATGCCTAACCATCACAATAAAACCTTTGAAGAAACTGCTGAAATGTATTCCTTCGCATCATCTCCGCCGTCTTTCTCTGTTGATTGCACTCTTTCCATGGGCACCCCTTCTACTCGTCTAACCAATAATGACACCGAAAAAAGATGCTCTTCTTACATGTCTAACTTTTGCTAGGATATTTTACTATCCAAACATTCGTCCAATTCTCCCCATCATTCGTCCCACAAAAGTAGCCAAGCAAACAATCACACCAACTCCAGTTATGGCGGGTGCTACTTCAACGGAAAATGTTCATATATCGTCCTTGAAGGAGGATGGGACAAGTTCTTCGGCACCGGTATCTGAGGTTCAATCAGTCTTGAAGGATAGGCTGGGGGTTTCTCTGCAACACCAGGTACAGTCTAGTGCACTTGTTGAGGGCAGGTTCACAGAGTTTTATTGGGAAGTTCAAACATCACTGGGAGTTTTATTGGGGGCTAAGGGGTAGAATAATAATATTTGCTAAAAATTGAGTATAAAGAATTTGTTTTTAGCTTTCAGTATACCAGTCCCGTTAATTTTACCGATTTCCGTCAGGTTTACAATTTAGTTCAAAACATGAGATATTGTGTTGTATTTTTTGAAACCATAGGAAACTTATTTGTATAATAGCTTTATCACAGGGAGCTTTTTTATTTTTTACCCAAATATATTATGGAAAGCTTAAAAGCATCACACAAATAATTTGGAAGTATCAAACAACCATCTTAACTATGATTAAGGAAGTCCCTGAGTTTTTGTGCACATAGAATCCAAAATCCAAGCAAGTTGATGCCTAATATATTTTTGGTCTCATCAAGCAATCCGTCAAGCACGATATGGATTGGATCATAGAATTTATAATTGCTCTGATCAATAGGAAAATAAAATAGAACATGATCCAAAAGTAGGATTTTTAGAAGAAAATAAATTTATAGGTTCATATTGATGGAAATTCATTGAGAACTAATAAATTGAAGTTAAGATCTGGCTTGTAGAACTTATTGAGGATAAATTTTGCACTTGTGCCTCTCCTAAAGCAATCATTAATGTGAGCACCAAATTTGTTGCATTGGACAAACAAACATGAGTAAAACTTCTTTGGGAGCTCAAGGTGTTTATTTCATAAAGTATTCTTAAAAGGAATAAGTGACCCGTTGTCACAATTTAACCACAAAGATAATACCCTTCACACTCCCTTGAAAGATTCACACCATAGGACAATGTGAAAATTTGTTTCTTCTTTGATAGCATCTCAATCATAATGGTGAAATACAATAGAAAAACACCCTCATTTGAAAATAGTTTGTTTGGGAGAACAAACCCATCATGAAGCCAAAATGAGAAGAAATTGCACACATGAATTGGAGTTGGAAACCATAAGTAGAAAGTGGTTAATGATATTTCCCATATTTGCTTGCAGATGTGGTATTTTCACTACTAACCCTACAATGATGATCAAACATTCACTATATGTTTTAAAAATTCCATATGAATAATGAAATTATGTTAGTGGAAAACAATTATACATAGAGTTTTGCGAAAGCAAGCAAATGAAAATTTGGTGGAATAGAAAATACCTCTTTGTAAGATTGTACTAAACTAAAGGGAATAGTTAAATTAGCAAAATCCTAATTTATAAACTTCACAACTTTGATATAATTAAATTGGAAATAAAGAATAAGAATTGGAACAAGTTGGCTGTGATTGTGATAATGATCATCCAACATACGTTTCATAATAATTTGCATTAATTTTACCTTTACATCTTTCTTCCCAATTGGCTTTTTCACCCATGTAAGAAACACAAAGAAATATATGACTTTAGAACAAAATTGGAAAAGGCAGGAAACTGATCTTAGTTTTATAGAGTGGTAGGAATAAAAAAAAATTTATAGAGTGGTATATATAATTGGTGCAATTTAAGATTAAGAAGAAGAAAGATCCTACATTCCTAAATGTTGGGGAAAAATGGAAGAACAAGAAGTAAATGGATGGATGTGTGAATAATTAGAAATAGCTGTTACTTAGACAATAATTAATTCAATTGATTGTAGGTTATGGGAGACCTAAAGAAAGAATTTTGATTAGTTGAAGTTTATTGATTAGATCTGAAGTAGTGGGGGTTATATTATAAGGAATTAATTGCATAACAAAAACCACAATTCAATTAAATGTGTTTATAATACCATTTCAGTAATTATACCAACACATAAATTTATATGAGTTGCATCCGATGTAAAGAGATTATAAAATAATTTCACATTTCAAAAATACCCAAATATCTCCATAAATAAAAGCTTTAAATGTACAAACATGAGGACATTTTCGTAAATATACCAAAAAACATGCTATCATCAGTTGTACCAAAAGTTAGCAAAACTTAGAGCCTTATACAGCCTCGTCTCTCTGGTACTTTTTCTCCAATTCTACCTATGGAAATGGCATAATATAACCCTTATCATCTCAAGAAGTGTCAATCAAAAATTGGCACCAATTCATGACGCCCTCTTCTCCCCTCAATTGGCACTATTCCTTAGTTTTACTTACAATGGCTAATGATGGTAAAACTCACAAGTAATCTTGTTTAATTAGTTACCTAATTTGTTGACAAAAAACATTTTTTCTTTTCTAAAATTCGTTCATTAAGTTTCTGCAATTAGTTAGGGTATAAAAGCAAATTAATATAATTTATTGTCAGCAATAGGCCCAATTTCCTCCTAAGTAAGGCAAGTGTTATTTTAAAAACCATAAGGAAGGTGAGTGCTAGTGTCAGAAAACTTAGGAGAGGTTTCTGCAAGGGATAATTGCAGAAACCTCCCCTGAAATTTCTGACATTTGCACTGACCTCCCCTATTAATTTTAAAATTGCATTAACCTCCCCTAGAAAAAGTTGGAACTAATTTAAAAGGTAAAAGTGTGTGAAATTACTAGAGTACCCCTATTGGATTTGACTTTACCAAATGAAAGGTTTGAGTACTTTCATCAAATCCAACGTTTAATTTGTTAAACAAATTAAACTAATCAAACTATTTCTGCATAGTTAAATTAATTAACTAATTAACTAATTATCTAATTAACTAATTTCTATTTTATCTAATTAACTAATTAACTAATCAAACTATTTCTTCATAGTTAAACTAATAACTAATTATCTAATTGTTAATAGTTATTAACTAATCAAACTATTTCTGCATAGTTAAACTAATTAACTATTAACTAATTATCTAATTAACTATTAACTAATTAACTAATTTCTATTTATCTAATTAACTAATTTCTATTTATCTAATTAAATAATTATCTAATTAACTAAAGCTGTTGTCTGTCCGAAACTAGCAAACTATTTGCATGTTAAACTAATTAACTGTTTAACTAATTAACTAACTAATTATCTAATTAATTAATTAACTAATTAATTAATTTTTGTTTATTTAATTAACTAATTGTCTAATTATCTAATTAACTAAAGCTGTTGTCTATCCGAAACTAATAAACTATTTGCATGTTAAACTAATTAACTAATTAACTGTTTAACTAATTAACTAACTAATTATCTAATTAATTAATTAACTAATTAACTAATTTCTATTTATCTAATTTACTAATTATCTAATTAACTAATTAACTAAAACTGTTGTTTGTCTAAA